TTGTGTATTGCACAATTATCACACACTCGCTCACATCAGGGCCCTGTTGTGGTACCCCTGTGCCTGTTCTCTCCAGTTCTGAGTGTCCTTCCATGCCCCGACCTCTACTTGGGGATCCACAGTGCAATGCTTTTCTCTGCAGCCTTTCTCCAATGCATAATTTGCACACATGCTTAGTTTTGCACATGCATGCTTGTAGATATGACATATGGATTTACACACAAAGAACGATGCGGGAGAGCATGCTCATGAAGTCACACTCTGCCAGCATGCACATGTGTACCCTCGAATCACACAACATACAGCGCACATATACATCCCACACATACCACATCTCATACACTATAGGCTCCACGACACCTATCAACTATATACCATATATACATATTACATCTTCAAGACATACACAAACACGTACATGCATGTGAACACAGTCCCCACTTGTGTCCTGGTCACAAACAGGCCTGGAAAGCGAGGGATCCTGCAACAGGCTACCAAGATAGCCTCAGTCACCCAGGTGTCCAGACAGTCTTTGACCCTTTGTCATGGTGCCCTATTAGTAGAGTCTGGCTGTGTCTGTGGACGATCCGGACAAGTTCTCTGTAGATTGATAAGTATGTCCTTTGTGAGAGAGGGCACTGGGACAGAAACACGTTTGGGTGGTGTTCGTGGCAGTGTAGGGCTGTGCCAGGCCCAGCAGGTTCAGTAGGAGCTGGAGTCCATTGTCCCAACAGTGGCCCCACACCCTCTGCTTCCTCTGCAAAGCCAAACGTTGAGTTTCTATAGATTTTCTGGGTGTCTCAACATCTGGACACACAGCCATGTGTCACTCAATGAAGGTGGGTGTGGAACAGCAAAGAAAAAAGGGGGAGCGGGGAGAAGAGCAGCCAATCTTGCCGTAGTGAGACTGTGTGTAAACTACACAGCTCATGTCAGCTTGCTTCCAGCAGATAGGTCAGCTGACGTGAAACTGCGGAGGGCATCCCTGCATAGGGCTGGCATGCTGAGTCTGCGTTTTGCAGGGTTAGCCAGGTACCACCATTATTCTGAATTAAAGGAAAGATTTTCAGAGCAATTAATGAGAAGTTACTGAATATTCTGGAACATGCAGAGGTTCACTGGATGACCGTCTAACTTTTCACATAGCTTGATGGAGTTGGCCATGGGTATACCCTTAGGGAACAGCCTTTTCTCCTCCTCCCTAGAGGAGCCCAGGCTGTAGCATCTCAGAGGTAACAAGTCAAGCCAGCTGGAGATTTGGTGGAGAGGAGAGCCACAGATGTGTGGCCACGAAACTTAGATGTGGGTTTGAGAGGATCTGACATTTGTGCAAAAGTCCTGGGCAGGAGTTTGGCTTGGGAGCCCATGGTGTGCTGGGGCTCTGTCTCATGCCAGAGTGGGCAGGAGGGTACAGTCTTCTCACTGTGTACTCAGAAGAGGGCCCAAGGGATCCCCAAAGGCTGTCAGACAGGGGGCTTAAAGGGGCAAGGGTTGGGCCTTGTGTTCTTGGGAGGGCTTCCCAGCCCCACTCTCGGATTGGTTGGAACAAAGAACATCTTGGAACGACTTGCTTGGGAAAGGACCTTTTGTGCTATTGAACTGGCTTGATGGCCCAGGGGTGGGAGGGAAGAGAATTCCCTTATAGGCAAGAAATTCTCCCCCCTGACAAGTTTAAAATGAGCATGTAACCGAGGGGTGCTGCTCCCCACTCTTGTTGGAGCATAGAGTGCATACCAAATCTCTGACAGGGCATTTGGATTTGGGGAGGGAGGAGAGAGAAGAGTATCATGTCTCGCCAGGGGCCAAATGGACAGGGTTGGACGCTTGCTTTCTCAGGCCCTGGGTGACCATCGATAGCCCACAATTCCCCTTCTCAGCTTTTGCTCATTTTATATTCTTACCCTCACATCTGTCCCAGAAAAGCACATGTCTCAGAAAGAGAAAGTCCAAAGCCCGTGGTATCTGTTTGATTTGAAGAGTCGTTCAGTGAAAAGGGCATTGGCCTACAGACAAGGATAATTTTTAAAAAATTGTGTGTGCATGCATGCGTGTGTGCTTGTGGGGTGTGTGTGTGTGCGTGCACACACACACATGCACTATGGCCTGGGTGTGGAGGCCAGAGGACAGCATCGTGTGTAATGGTGTTCTTTCACCTTTATGTGGGATCCAGAGATCAAAGTCATGGTGCCAGCTTGTGCAGCAAGTGTCTTTACCTGTTGAGACATTTGGCCAGCCTCAGGAGCAATTTTAATAAAGATGAACACGAAGTTTGATTAGGGGATGGGCTGGAGGGCTTCTACACAGAGAAATCCCATCTTAAACAAACAAACAACCCCCCACCCCTGAAAAAACTGGGGTTGTCATAATTTTTTTCATGGATTTTTCACTGAATGGAGAGGTAGTTTACCTTAGGTCGATCTTTCCAGAAAGGAAGAGAGACTTCACTATTGCTTGTGCACATTGGACTGAATATTAAGAGTTCAAGAAGCAGAAGCCACTGACACATGGATCATGGAATGTGTGTAGGGGGATACGTTTGTGGCTAAGCTCGGAGTCTGTTTCCAGAATAGCTGCACCCTGGGAAAAGACCATTGTGCAACCTTAAACACCAAGGACTTATGAATCCCCAGGGATACCAGAGCACTGAGAAGCTGTGCTGGCTAGTGTTATATCAACTTGACACAAACTAGAGTCATCAGAGAGGAGGGAGCCTTGGTTGAAAAAAAATCCCTCCACAAGACTGGGCTGTAGGCAAGCCTGTACGGCATTTTCTTAATTAGTGATTAATGGGGGAAAGGCAAGCCCATGGTGGGTGGTGCCACCCCTGGGCTGGTGGTCCTGGGTTCTATCAGAAAGCAGGCTGAGCAAGGCATGATGAGCAAGCCAGTAAGCAGCACCCCTCCATGGCCTTTGCATCAGCTCCTGCTTCCAGGTTCCTGCCCTGCTTGAGTTCCTGCCCTGCTTGAGTGAGTTCTTGCCCTCGCTGCTTCTGATGATGAGCTGTGATGTGGCACCGTGAGAGAAATCAACCCTCTCATCCCTACGTTGCTTTGGTCACGGTGTTTCTTCACATCAATAGTCACCCTCACTAAGGCAGAAGCTGAGTTGTCTGTTTCAGGAAGGACCTTCGGCCATCTTGGGACACTTCCCAGCCTGCTCAAGCCCTGCTGAGCTACCACAGAAGCCTCAGCGACTTGTCTGTTGCTGTGATAAAACACCATGACCAAGGCAACTTATAGAATGAAGAGTTTGTCTGAAGGTACAGTTCTAGAGGTAGAGTCCATGATGGCAGGGGACGGGGCAGCAGACAGCAGACTCAGTAGCAGGAGCAAGGAGAGCAAACTGCAAGTGGGACCAGAGGCTATGGACCCTCAAACCCCACTCAGAGAGATGTACCTCCCCAGGTGAGGCACCATCATCTCCCCAAATACCACCAACCGGGGTCAGGTGTTCAAATGTGTGAGCCTATGAGGGACATATCTCAAATGCTCACTCGTGGGTAGCAGGCATGTGCCCTTCAGGTAGCCTTTAGTGCTGCTCAAGGAACTATTCTGGTGAGGAGATAAATCTCTTTTTGAAATGTACCTGCACCGTTATTTATGGAAAGGGAAAGGAAGGTCTATTTTCTACTTTGGATACACAACTGGAAATTCTGGGCAGCGCTACAGTAGCCTGAGGAAATCTTACCCGTGAGACGACGAAGCAGCTATGTGCAGGGGGATGTGTGAGGCACAGGTGTGGAAGGCTAGAAGGCTCATTTGTTAGAGTGTTTGCTAGGCAATGACGGGGCCTCGGCCTGGGTATCTAGGACACAGGAAGGAGCCAGGAGCCTCAGCATGTGTCTGTAACCCCAGCACTGGAGCTTCGGTATCAGGAGGAAGAGAACAGCTAGTGTCGACCTTTGGCCTCTACACACACATTTCCATATGTGCATGTACGCGTGAACATGCCCACATAAACCACACACATAATGCCACATGCATAATACCCCCTCGTCTCTCTCTCTCTCTCCACACACACACACACACACACACAGACACACACACACACACACACACACACACACACACACACACACACTGATTTATTTTAATAGATTAAATAAAGGCTGAGGTCTGGGTAGTCCAACAGTGGCTGTCTCATGATTGAAAGGCTGGTCACTTATTGAGACTGGATGCCCCAGCAGTCCTAATGTGGTGCCGGAGTCCTGGAGGAGTTCTGGAGCGCTGCTCCTCTTCAGTCCATGTTGGAATCTCCAAGAAGTTGATTCTCATACGGACCAAGGAATGCCTCAGCAGCAGGGTACACAAACTTGTCAGAGAGTGAGGGCAAAAGGAGGGCATTCTTCCATCTGCTTTTATGGGGGCTGTCTGTCACCGGAAGGTATAGCCCAGATTTAGGATGGGACTTCCCACCTGAGATAATCTGATGAAGAAACTCAGAGACCTGCCCAGGAGCTTGAGTTTTAGATGGTTCCCGATGTAGTCAAGTTGACATCCAAGATCAGTCATCACACCGTGTGGATTCATGAGAAGGTGCTCAGCATCTTAGCTTCATGAGTGTCAAACAGAAGGAAGTGTCCTGTTTCTGTCATCCCTGGGTCACTTGCTGTGAAGACTGTGGCAGGAAGGAACAGTGTTCTCGAGCACCGAGGCAAACTTGCTCTGTGCTCCAGTCTAGATCCTATGTTACTTGCAACACAAGAGCATGCCTGTGCAGGCTGGCAATCCTTCTAGGAATTCGCCCTCGGGGTGTACTGTGGGGTACAGGCAACACTAAGGCGGTGATGAGCCTCCCTGCAGCGAGATTTGTTATAGCCGTGGACTAGAAGGGTGGCGGATGAACCCCAACATGAAATCTTACACTGCCCTTTAAAGGGATGAGGCGGGGTTTGTTTGGAAGTGCCAAGGTACGTTACCAAGTTAAAACAAAAAGGCAAAGACTCATTGCGATGATATATGGCAAGGTCTGCAGGAAGACATTTGTCTTTATCTGTGTAGACAGGAGATTTCCGGACAGGCAACGGAGAGCTGTGGATGGAGTCTCTTCTGGAAGGTCTGTGGAGGTGTGAAGGCACAGGTAAGGGATTTGAGATCTTATAAACACTTGTGGTTAAACTTGGTCATGAAGAGCGTGTCAAACTTTGGTGCTCAAAGGCAACCTCCCCCTGCCTACCCTCTACCCCTCAGCCTGAGTCAAAACCCAACCCCTTACAGGCTGTTGGGCTAAACAGGGTGGACACCTCAATTTGGTCCATTTTGTTCATTACTTACATTATATTCCAACCATCGGCTAAAGGATGTGAAAACGCTTCCACAAACTGTTAGCCACCATAAAAACAGAGCAGAAGGTGTTGATTCAGAAAGGACAGCTGATCAACCAAAAATATTTGTGAGAATTAGCCTCAGTCTGCAAGAAAGGACACTCCTGAACAGCAAGATGCATTGTAAGTAACAGCCATTATTACTTTATTGAGGTAAGGTCCTCCTAGGCTTGCCACCTTGGAGAGCACACACGGCAGCTCCCTCCGGAACTTTCCAAAAAGGGGGTGTGAAGACAGCTCGAGACTTAGGCTAGATTGTTGTAATTGTCACAAGACAGGGTGGGGAAGGAGGAGGGGGAGGGTTGTAAATGTTAAATGCTATCAGAGGGCCTCTGTAAGGGCACCTGCTCTTGCTCAGTGCTCGGTTACGTGACTTCAATCCCCTGGTTCCCCGTTGCTGGGACTTCTTGGCAATATTTGGATACTCCATTGCATGGAGTCTGCTCTTGGTGCCCAGCACCTTCCTGCTGTGCCCTTCCAGGCTGTTGATACGTCTGTGTCCTCTGAGGCCCACTGGCGTCAGTGGGCGGGAACACACCCGTGGAGATGTCTCTTCTGCTCACTTATCACCGGCTTCTTGTGGGGTCATGAGTCCTAGTGACCCAGGAGGCCATGAGAGGGCTGTATTTCAAAATCATCTCCCAGAGTCTATGAATCAGGAGGTGACGAGTTCATCTCTGCCTCAAGGATGTTCTTCCTGACTGTCTTTAAGGAAGAAAGAGGTCAGGCTGTTTTCATGCCACGCCTCTGTTGCTGATTTCTTTTGCCTGGGGCTCCCAGAGGCAGCATGGCCCAGCGCGGTGTGCAGTGTGGAGGGAAGAGGGTGAGTAGGGTCTGTGGGGATCCAGATGGTGACTGAGATCTGTTGCACCAGGTGACAAATGTCTTGGTGGAGTAGACCTTGGAGCTACATGCATGGCCTGGGCTCAGATCCCGACATCGCTTCTCAGTGCTGGATGACAGCTCGTGAGTTCTCTGTGCCTTCGTGTATCCTGTGGAGAGGGACCACCGAGAAGTGGCCCTGCAGGTCACCCTGGACAGCCGGAACACAGAGCCACAGGTTGTTCAGTTAAAGAACCAGGGACCTGGCTTTGAGAGAAAGGGATCCAGCCAGCCTGGCGGCAACTTCCAGTCCTATTCTGGAACAGTGCTTGCTTGTAAGAGTCTTTGCTGGGAGCCCTTCCTCAATCCTCCCGCAGTCCTCCCGCAGAAGCAGAAGTGTCTATTCTCAGCGGCGCTTGAGCAGAGAAGGGCTGTGTGGGCTGCTTTGGGTGGGCTCTGGGGCAAGGCACAGTCCAGCAGACTTGCTCCCTAATTGGACTCTGTTGCTTACTTAGTAGCTTTCCCCTGCTGTGACCCCTCTCACCCCCTACTCCTCCCAACCCCTCAGCCCCCTCCAACTCCCCAGGCCTAGCTTCCAGATCTGCAGGATCTGACTTGATGGTTTGCCAAACCATACTGGGCACTGCAGGGGGCGGGGGAGGGGGCAGGGCATTCAGGGCAGAGTACTTGGCCCATATTTATTTTTGGTTTTAATTCCTTTATAGTTCAGCAGACAAAATAATGGGTTTCACAGTGATATTTGCATACCTGCCGATATTGCACACAGCTTACTCCGCTCATCATTGAATTGGTATTTATTACTGGTGCTTTTAATGCAAGGACGGGGTCACTATTAGAGAAAGAGAAAGAAAAGAGAAACCATGGCTCAGGATGGACGCCCTGTCTAGATGGGAACAGAGGGTACAGGGGCTCCACCTGGCTGTACCTAGTCCCCGAGGGACTGGGCACAGAGCTATAGTCCTCATAGTCAAAGGCCTGTCCACTGCAGTCAGGAGGCCTCTTCAGGTGGCTTAAGGGAGACGTGTCGGAGAGGGAGTGGTATCACGGCCGGGTACTCACTTGGACGTCCAGGACTTGAGGTAGAATGCTGGCCCTGGTTGGGGCTGTAGTTTGCACTATGAGGTTCCCTGTGCACAGTCCTGCCCTCTTGGCTGGGGAGGTGACTGTTCTGTGGGGACATGAGTCCTAGGGAGGCCAAGGGCCTTCAAACTCCCACGCAAAGCCCTCCCTTAACCTCATGAAGTTCCCACAGCAGGTCCTAAACTCAAGACTTACTCTCAGATCTCATTTTTTTCCTGTGTAGACTTGGAAGGTTTCTGAGTCTCCGAACTCCAGCTTTTGGGCTCAGTAGCAAGCCTGTCCCACACAGGGTTGCCTCATAGTTTGAATTCACATGTTGCCTATACCCAGATTAATCTAAACTGTTCCGGCTTCTGGCATGGGAATGCACCAAGCTACCTCCCAGCTGGGCCCTCCCAGGACTCATCTTTCTGTTCAGAGGGCCACATACGCTCTTCCTCCCTCCTCATCCACTCAACCAGGGTCCTGCTGGACACTAGGCTCTTCAGTCCCTTCTCCACCATGGCCTCCACAGCCCTCAGCCCCTCAGGCAGCTGTGAGCATGCAAGGAGCCAACTGGAGGCCTCTGTGCTGCGTGCTCAGGCTCTGGCTTCCGGTTCCAGGTCTAGGGCCCATTCCTAGATATGTACTTGTGGTTCTTCGGCACCGTGGGCCCCAGGCTCCCTTTGCTCAAGGTCAAGTGTGAGTTTGTCCTTAGGAAGAGATAGTGGGACTCATCTGAGCAGGGCCTTCTCCTATGGTGAGCTGAAGGTGAGATTTGGTGCTGGTGATGCCTGGGACTGTGTCCAAGGAGGGGTGTGGCTACGTGACAGACATCTGTGAGTAGTAATTCAAGCTGGTGGGCATTGTTGTGAGTGTTATTCCACGCACACTCAGGAGCCGGGCCGTTAATGGCTCATAGGGCACCCTTCACACAGTGACCTTTTCTTCAGTGTCAGAACAGGATGACTCCTCAAATGTCAAGATCTCTTCATTCACTCATGGCTGCATCACCATGAGGTGACTTACAGGCAACTTTGAGGTGGGAAGTTCAGACGTTGTTAGTGGTTTGAATAATGATATTAAAAAAGGATCTTAAAGCAAAACGTAAAAGGCCCCAGAAAACCCAAGCTTTCACAGGTCTGCAACGCCACCACACTTCTCCTTCCTCCCAGCACGCTCCTGCTTCTGCTCCAGAGACCCGTTCAGTCTCTCAGGTCCCAAACAGATCAGGGGAGTTACAATTCCCAAGTCTACCTGGACACTCATCTACCTCCCACAGGGCGGTCCCCTGCCTGCAGGTGTGGCTGTAGGTGTCTCTCGCTGCCCCCTAACTATCACGGTGAAACACAGAGTTCTCAGTTTTGGTGTCCTTTTGCTTTTTTTTGTACAGCTTGTTGCCCCTCGATGAGTTCATGATCTGTCATACCATCGAGGGGTTGACTTCGGCCTTGGCAAAAGATTCCATGAGAAAGTGACTTTGCTTTTCTGGCCACCCTGCTTCTTACGAAGCGAACAAAGATATAGACGCGTGTATTAACCTGGCAGGGTTGTTGTAAAGGGCAGGTGCAGCCACGCGTCACCTCTGGGTGCGGTAAGCTCTTCACAGCCCTTCGGAGGACTCACGGCCTCCTCCTAGCCCAGCAATCAGGCCTTCCCATGGTCTCCATTTAGGAAATTCATGGGGCTGGGGATGGAGCTCGGTTGGTAGAGTGCTTGCCTAGCATGTATGAAGCTCTGGGCTCCATGTAGCAGCGCGTAAAACCAGGTGTGGTACAGAACAGACCTGTTACCTTAGCGCTTGGGAGGTGGAGCCAACAGGGTTAGAAACCCAAGACCCCTCAATGACATCAAATTAAAGACCAACATAGACTACATGAAACTGTACACAAAACAAAACAAAACAAAACCAAAACAAACCAAAACAAACCAAACCAAAACAAAACAAAACAAAACAAAACACAAAAGCAGTTTAGTGAGAACCATTCATTGTGGCTGGAGAGTTTCTCTCCAGCTCCCACCAAGCCCCGGCAGTCCAGCAGCCCACTTATAAAATAAACACACAGATACTTATATTATTTAAACTGTTTGGCCTGATGGTTCAGGCTTCTTGCTATCTAGTTCCTATATCTCAAATTAACCCATATCTATTAGTCTATAAGTTGCCACGTGGCTCGTGGCTTACTGGTACCTTACATCTCGCTTTTCATAGCGGGTGGCTGGCAGCGTCTCTCTGCCTCAGCCTTCCACCTCCCAGAATTTTCCTCCTCCTTGTCCCGCCTACATTATCTTTCCTGCCTGGCTACTGGCCAATCAGTGTTTTATTTATCCATTAATCATAGCAACATATATTTACAGCATACAGGACATCCCACAGCAATTCATTGTTTGTTCATGTAAAGTGTACAGCCCATCACCTCTTGGCGTGTTACGTTATTGGTATACCTGAAGGCTCTGGAGCTGTTGAAATCTCTCTTTGGTGGCTACAGAGGGAGGGTGGGGGCTGGGCTTCTGGAGGTTGGGTGGCGCTAGGAGAGAAAACTTGTATCAAGGCCCAAGAGTGATGAAAAGCCTTAAGCAAGGATGTAGACTTGAACAAAAAAGGAGGAATTTAGGCTTAGGGGTGTAGCCCATTGGTCAAGTATTTTCTCAGTGTGCCCCAGTCCCAGTGTTCCAGCCCTAGGACCAAAACAAAATGGAAGTGGTGTGGTTGCTCACTAGAGGACAGGTGCTTCTTCACACGTGGAAAGCTTGGGAGTGGAAGGGTGTGTCCGGAGAGTAGTGGTTTTTGGAGGAAGGGTAAGCCAGGGACACATGACAGGTGCTGAGGGGCTAGGGGAAATGGAGAAAGCCACA